AGATCAATTTTAATTAAATCAGTATGAAATCAGAATAACCAGGAATGTATAAAGTTAGCTCCTCCCCTCAACAGCTTATTCTTCCCAAGAAAGAAAGTAGAGTGTTTTTAAAGTGCACATGAAAAAGGCAAATTCTTTCTTAGGGGTTTGCGTGAATTTCCTCTTATTCAGAAATAGGAGAATTAGGTTTACTGCAAAACCCCATTAAAATTCTAAACAAATATTTTTTCCTTCTATGTTTGGAATGTATAAAGTTAGCTCCTCCCCTCAACAGCTTATTCTTCCCAAGAAAGAAAGTAGAGTGTTTTTAAAGTGCACATGAAAAAGGCAAATTCTTTCTTAGGGGTTTGCGTGAATTTCCTCTTATTCAGAAATAGGAGAATTAGGTTTACTGCAAAACCCCATTAAAATTCTAAACAAATATTTTTTCCTTCTATGTTTCAGCCCTTTCCATCCTATTAAAAATATCATGGCGAATTATTTTACCAATGTATGACCAAGAGCTAGAGCATTCTATAAACTCATCACTTTCTTTCCCCTCTCACCTATAGAGCCCCACGGCAATGGCCTTGGAAGGCAAATTGATAATGAATGCTCTAATCCAAAATGAGGGCTGGAACAAATGCAAGGAAGTACATAAAATGGGTAGTTTACTTTTTGCCAGAGTAATTTTTTGAGGTACCTGTACCAATTCATTTTATATGACTTAGGATGCTGTTCAATTTTGCTGGGCTCTAAACCACATTCTCAAAAAGTTTCTGAAAAATCTGAAGAGATAGTTATATTTTACTACATTTACTATGATCTCCTCTAGACTACTTTATTGGCAGTAAACAAGTATCTGTAAAAACTATTTTAAACAAACAAACAAATAACCCAGGACCTAATGGTCAAATATTTTTACTAAAAGACTAAATCTTTAGTGACTTAAAGAACATTCACATACTTTAGCTTATAACAGTCTTAAATAATATTGTTAATTTAAGAAAAGAGTTACTTAGGACAAAAAATAGATAACTCACATTACTCAAAGAATTAAAACAGGAAATTTAGTAACAGCATTAAAATACAGTTGTTCTTAATTAATAAAAATATAGGCATTAAGGCAGTTGAGAAATAACTCATGTTTATATAAACTCCACAATTAAAGTTTTCTAAACAGTAAAATCTATAAGATAACAGAAATGGGTCAATTTAAATAATCCTATTTGTCTACAGAATATTATATTAAGTATAATGTCAGAGCCAACCGTGACATTATACTTAATATATATATATTTGACACAGATCAGATCTTTCAAATAATACTGATTTGTTTTCCTATGTGTTACTATTTTACCATCTGAGGGCTTGCCACATACCAAGCAATGTTCTAACCTCTTTACAAGTAGCAATCCCATGAGGTAGGTTCTCTCATTCTACAAATGAGAAATTTGAGGTATAGAAAGGTTAAGTTGCTCACAATCACATAGCACCAAAAGATAGACACAGGATCGAAGCAAGCAGTCAGGTTAAAGAACCTGCTCTCTTAACCACTGGTCTGTTTTGGCTAGATTGGCATGCATTAATAAACACAACTCAGAACAAGACCTAGTCACAGGCAATTTAACAATAGGTTAGAAGTTGGCTTTTCCTAGATTTCTTTGCTCCTGTACAACACTCATGCTACCATGAACTGTACTAAGGACAAAGGTGAGTTGATTAATTGTTTACCAAGTGAGACTTTGGCTTTGAAATTACTTTCCTTTGAAATATTATTAATGTCCTTAAATGTATTGAGAAATTAAAAAACACACAAAGTTGGGTTATACAGGCTAGTAATTACAGACAAAAGGAATAAAGAGATAGCATGTCAAAAAATACAATTAAGCTAAGAGAGTTATCTTCTCATGATATAGTATCAAGTTTTATTGGAAAGAAGCTCAGAATAAATGTTTTTAAATCATCAGAATTTCTGCTCACCCAGATTTTCCATAGTCCCAGAAAACTTTGACTAGAATTAGGGAACCAATTATTATAGTAACAGCAACAAGTCCTTGAGGGGGAAAAGAAATTGGTAACATAGTTAATAGAAAAATGAGCAATTACAACTATCGTGTAATTTCACAGTGATATACTGGTTATGAAGCAAGTTAAAGAAAATGTAGAAGACGAAAATTATATTTTGTGTACGGCTTCCTTATGTTATAAGTTTGAGGGCATAGACAGGTAATAATACACAGCGAAGACCCTTTATCAGCATCGTACACATTTCAAATCGCCACTGATGATTCAGGACTCTTGAAAGTACACTTTAATTTGGGCTATTCTGTAATATATACCATATTCAGGTAGATATAAAGCATGAGTAAATAAGCATATGATACTTAAAGGATACAGAAAAGGTATGTTAGATATTTCAGAGTATTCTCTAACTTTTTCTTTAATATTCCTTCAATTGACCTATTAATCTTCGTACGGGACTTTTGAATGTCACAATACAGGATTTTAGCAATGGTGGGGAAAAAGCAATACTTCTAAAGAGTCAAATTTGAGTTGTGCAGTTTCTTGTCCTGCCACTAGGAAAAGAATTTTTCTAGCCTTTCAAGTACCTAGTGCTGGAGAAACTTGTCATCTGCCTCTGTTTAAGCACCTGATAGCTGTGTGACCTTTGGCAAGTTATAAATCTTGCAAAATCACAGTCCTCTCAGCTAAATACTTCCAAAGTTGTAATATTATATGTATTATTCACTTACATGGCACTATAATAAAAGCAATTTCTTTGCACTAGATTTTGCTTATCTTTAAAGTAAGAAAAGTGACCTAATTCACATAATAAATTTAAGAAATGAAGATCATTTTCAGGTTTATATTTTACAAGTATAGGATCACAAAGAAAAATATTGCCATATATCTGATTGAAGAGGAAAGAAGCTCCTCTTTATTTTTGAGCACAAGTTAAAATTACAACTAACCCTAAGGACAGGTTTCAGGGAAATTACTTAGTATATATTTCAAGAATTTCAGAGAAAAATAATAAGCACTTCAAACTTCATTAAATACCACCAAGCAGGTGAGAAAAAGCTCATCAATTAAACTCATAACTGTTGTCAATATTAAGTCATTAAATCATGAGATTTTCATTTAAAATACATTTATTCCTATTTAAAGTACATAATTAAATTGAATTCCAACTGTTTGAATCTTTCAATATGAATCTTTTAGCTTAGGAGAGGATTATTCAAAATATAAAAGAATTATAATAACAAATAAAAATAATCAAAATACCTGCTTTCAGCATTATAGTCCCTTGGCTAACTCATTCATGCATGAGATTATAAGGTCATAACTTAAAGATATACATTTTTTAAAAGTGTATTTTCTATCGAACATTACTTATCAATAAGGAAATTCACTGTATTGCTTCTTAACAAACACTTTTCTTACCATCTTCTTCAGAAGTTTATTAATCTTGTTAATGCATAATATCAAATAATATATTTATGGACAAAAAAAAGGGACTGTGCCAAATGAGAAATTGCAAAATGGATATGTTTTTGGCCTCATACCTATAGCAGTGAAATATTTTTTAAAGATAACTTTGCTTTAAATCACTGACAGGGAATGGACAAGGAAGAGGATATAATCAAAAATAGAAATGTTTTATTTAGAGTAAGACAGAAACTAGACATGATCAAGAAGTAGTTTATAATTAATTACAAAATATTTGTAGAAATTATGTTAATAACTGTCTCCTTCTCATGGTTCTTTAGCCCCTAGAATGATATATTGAGACAACAGGTTCTCAATAATATTTGATTGATTGGCCCAATGATTTGAAGTTTTCCTAAAATTAGCTTGGAACAAGACATGATTGGAAATAGGAACATACCGAGTACCTAAATGGTGTTTATAAGACATCAATAAAATGCGTTTACCTGGATTTTTCTTTTGTCACCCATAAACACCATATTTTAATAGGATTCCTACAATACCATATTTCGATAGGATTCCTACAACATTGTATTTTAATAGGATCCCTACAATACATAGAAAGCAATGTTCTCTTGCAGAAACATTGACTATTTATCCGACAGTGATGACAATTTCTTTTAACTGCTGGAGAGCCAAACTTACCAGATACAATGGTGCTGGCCCCTAAAGAAGAAGAAAAGAAAAAAGAATTACAAAAATAAAAAGTTTTAAAAGTCATTGATTTGCCAGCAGTTTAATATATATATATACATATATGTGTATATATAGTATCTGAAAGTTCAAAACTCAGATTTTCATAACTCAAAGAAATAATTATAATTTATGAAAACAATTTTACATTATGAACATACACACCAAGGCCTTTATCTATTCAACACAGTAAACATTATATAAACAAAAATACAAGAAAGAGTTAGTGAATACAGAACAAACACTGTGTAAATTTGGTTATATGACAATGGCAAGTAACAAATTCAAAAGCTTAAAGAGTAACTGCTTATCCAATCCTATGAACAAGAAACTATCAGAAACTGAAGTCTCTCTCAGCAGACTCTATCAAAACTTAAATTACTATATCACCTTATTATTTATATCTTTCAATAACTATGAATGAAGCAGAGAAAACGTAGCTTTAGCTTTACTTTCAGATAAGTACATTTTTAATAATAAGTACATTGCTCCTTTAAGTGGTGAACTAATTTACTCAAAGTACCATTGAGAACAGGCAATATTGCATAGCAGAAAAAGCATAGAATTTGAAGCCAGCAAATACGTATTTAAGCCCTAATTTTCTTCCTATTAACTATGCATTGTATATGAGTCATACCAGTTAATCTCTAAATTCTAATTTATCTTCTATAAAATGAAACTAAAAGTATTTATTTTGCAAGTCTCTTGTAAGGACTGGTGACAACAAATGGCAGGTGTATGGTACATGCCACTACAGCACATATTCAGTAAGTGATCACTATTGTTTTTTTTTTTCAATAAGATCAAGAAATGGTATGATAGTTAAAGAATAAATTAATTGCACATAAGAAATTTGATACCAAACATTGGCCGTATTTTTGTTTTAACAATTGATTCAAGTTTAATTTATTTTTATTTTTATTATTTATTTCTTTATTTTTTACGCCTACAGCACCCAGTCTTCCTAGGGTGATCTCCCACCCAAATACTAACCAGGCCTGCCCCTGCTTAGCTTCAGAGATCAGACGGGATCGGGTGTGTTCAGGGTGGCATGGCTGTAGACTCAAGTTTAATTTAAACTTGTTAAATTATCTTGTATTTTTTGCAAAAAAAATATTTCAACAAAGTTAGCTCTATAACACATTTATATAAAGTGAAACATTTCTCCTTCCCCTGCCTTATGAAAAAAACTGGGTATATTCAACTTAAAACTTTTTGGCCAAAAGATGTCATAAAAATTTATGAAGTCAGTAACCATATACAAATGTTAAAATTAATGAACTAAATTTAAATGTAGCAACGTAAGACACAAAACCAATGATGAGTGCAAAAAGCCAAGTCAGATAATGAAAATATGACATACTGTAAATTATAAAAAAATATACAAAACAATATTATGCACAGCCTATTCAATTCTGCGAATCTGGTCAAGTTGAAATTTCCACCATAGCACGTGAGATCCAAGCTCAGGAATCTGAACAGTGTCAACTCACCTACAAGAAGGGTTTCTTTGCTTTTCGATGTACTTCTTGTCTGAAAAGGTGTGGTTTCCTGTGGAACAGCTTGACTCTGTGTTGCTGTAATATGAGCAGAGGGCAATATTTGTGTCGTATGGAGACCCTTAGTCACAAGGGCATGGTCAGCTGTAAATTTTTGTTTTACTTTGGCTTGTGTAGCAAAAGTATTTGCCATGATGGGATTCTGGGCTGCTGGTAAGCTCTCTGTAGATAGAGCATCTGATACAGGGGATATTTTGGCTGTTGTGGTTGAATCATTTGTTGTGATTGGTTTCTGAGGAATTAGTGGGGCCTTTGAAGCTGAAGAGTTTATTGTAGTGGGTTTTTTAGGAGTCGATATGGTTTCTGTAGCTGGAATATTTGCTGTGGTGGGTTTCTGAAGAGTTAGTGTAGCCTTTGTAGCTGGAGCTTTTACTGTGGTGAGTTTCTGAGGAGTTAGTGGGAGTTCTGTAGCTGGAATATTTGCTGTGGTGGGTTTCTGAGGAGTTGGTGTTGTCTTTGTACCTGGAGCTTTTACTGTGGTGGGTCTCTGAGGAGCTGATGGGAGTTCTGTAGCTGGAATATTTGCTGTGGTGGGTTTCTGAGGAGTTGGTGTTGTCTTTGTACCTGGAGCTTTTACTGTGGTGGGTCTCTGAGGAGCTGATGGGAGTTCTGTAGCTGGAATATTTGCTGTGGTGGGTTTCTGAGGAGTTTGTGTGACATCTACAATTTGAGTACTTTCTGTGGAGGAGAAAAAAGGTTTTAAAAAAATTAGCTAAATAATGCTATCCACGTTAAGATTTAGGAACCAATTATTAATTTGATGACTCTTCTTTTTCTGCCCCCAAAACACCTAAATATACATTTAGGAAACCAAATCTTATTGTGTATTTTAAAAGAAACTGAAAAGTTACATTGATTTTGCTTCAATATAAATTATACCTACAGAAAACTAAGTACACCAAAGTTGTACTGAAGTACTTCAACTGTTTTCTGTGTGAAGAAAGAAAACAAAACTCAGAGTCCACAGTGATCTCATTCTATGACACACCTCAAATACAGATATTTTCTCTCTTAAATTGTCTTCCTTTCACACGCTGAGACCAAAGACCAGCAGGATGCAACTACCAGACTAACAGAGATAATAATCGCAATGCAGTTATTTTTTCCAGAGCTTTCAGGACATGTTAGTGACCTTGGGAACTTGTTTTGTTTTACTTTTTCAAAGTAATAAAGTCAATTGGAATAAAATAACTCTCTTTTTCTCCTCTTGTGCTGTTTAGCAACTCTACATACATTACTTTAGTTCCCCTTTGGATTTTAAGTCCGCTAACAAATATCGGAAGCACAATTTCAGTTAAGATCCTATTCTGGAATCACAATAACGACAGAGTGAAATTTAGGTTTTCAGTGACTGCTTGACCCTGGGTTGCTTATACAAACTTCCTCTTGAAGCAGTAAGCCTATTTCACCACATACTAGACTAAGTTCTGTAATCCCTTTAAACTTTAGCTTTCTCACCTGTAAAATAAGCATAAAAATAGATTTTATAACATTACTGTAAGGAAGAAGGGAAATAATTTAGGGAAGTTATTTCACATAGCGTCTGTCTCTGAAGAAACATGTTACATCATCCAGTACTTCTGCCAGCACCATCAGCATTCTGCTCTAGGTGCTCAGATGTCATGTCACTTGTTTTCTTTACTGACCTCACGGGATGCTATAAGAGATAACTCAAGTAAAACACTGCAAGTCACACAGCACTTAGCAGGCACTCAAAAAATTACATATATTGTTATTAACGTAAATGTAGTTTTATATAGACTTTTCACCTAACGTCATCGTATATAAAATTTATTCTTTGTTCTACTAAGTTAGTTCTCATTTTTGATCCAAAGGATGGTATGCTATATAGTTTAAATCTCCTGGAAGTTACTTTTCTAGTTATCTTTTTCTTAATTGGTGCCTAGTTTAATTCCACTGTCATCAGAAAGCATGCTCTGAATTATTCAATCTTCTGAAATGTATTGTGATTTAGATCCCAACATATGATCAAAGTTCAATGTACATTTGAAAATATTTTGCTATGTATCTTTATAGGGCTTGATGCTCCTGTCAATTTTTTAAGTTAATTGTTGTACATATCTTCTATACTCTTACTGTTTTTTTGTTTGCTTGTTCTGTTAGCTATTGAAATGGTATGTGGAATTCTAGAACTATAATTGTGGATTTGTCTATTTTTCTTTCTGCCATTTTTGCTACATATAGATTGAAGCTATTTTTTTAAGTGCATAGATTT